TCTACCATATCTCCCAACCACAACTGATACTAATCTAAAAATGTACTGATCAATAAAAAAGGTTTAAAAAAATTACAAAATTCAAGTTTTAAATAGTGAAAATACACATACAAGAAAAAGTTTCCCAGGCGGTGGTGGCGTACACCTTTAACCCCTGCACTCGGGAGGCAAGGCAGGCTGATCTCTGTGAGTTCAAGACCAGTCTGGTCTACATAGAGCTAATTCCAGGACAGCCTCCAAAAAATACAAATAAAAAAAGTGTCTTGCCTCTTTCTGCCATATCCACACAGGCTCAAAAGGCAGACCTAAGAAAACATTCTGAAATGTTCACTGGTTCCACATGTACTGTAATCAGTTCTTCAACCACTAAACCTTTGACACACAATTCAGACCATGCAATGTTCCTGGGCTGGAAATATCTTCCACAGAACGGTTTATTCTCTAAGAAACACAATGAAGTATTGGCTATTTAATTCTATCCCACACAGAAATATTTAACAAATACTAAAATCTAATACTACTATAATTGAGTTTCAATACACCAAAGGGGAGATGGAATTACTATCTTCCTTCTAGTATCAAGATATTTTATTTTGTTGCTGTTTTTCAAAAAACACATTAAAATGTGTTTATAAACCAGCAAATGATTTATAAAACGTAGATCTCTGAGGATGTTAACCATTTTGTGCAGAATAAAATGACATAATTTTTAAAAGCATGTAAAAACTTTTCTGTATAATTCTTTTGTATAACAATCTTAAAATCCCCGTTTTTGTAGGAATTCCACCTGAATGCCTAGGATTAAGGGAAACCTGTAAGACCCATTCAGGGAATTGTTCCATTCACAATCACCCATGAAAACACCTCTAGCAACCACACCATTCACTCCTTCTTTCTTTTTGAAGACAGTCTCACTGGGTGTCCTGGTTTGCAAACCAGACTGGCCTTGAACTCAAGAGATGGCCTGCTATTGCCAATGAATGAAAGGTGTGTCACCCCACCCAGTGCCCACACCTATTTTGAAGTACCACATTCTATGGAATTGTTAATAGTGTCTCCTAAGAATATCTTAATAATGCTAAAATGTACTGGAATGAGGCATATGTACATAAATGTACTAACTGTTTTTCCTTCAAGGCTAAATTCATTATTTGTGATTTAATTTCGAGCCGTAGTTGGTAAACTATTTTTAAAAATAAGTTCCTGCAAGGGTTTCCAAACATGGTAGGAAACAGCAACAACACAGAAGTTTGTTTATCACAAATGAACTAAAGGGAAACTAGGGCCAAGGCATTTCTCAAGACCTTACTTACCAAGTAATTCTGCTCTCTAAGCCAAGTTTTAATGTCAGTCAGTGCCAGCACCAGTAACTATGGTTGTCTGCTGGCACTACACAGTAATGTATTTCCTGATGCACGGACACTTGTCATAACAGCTAAAGTTCCTAGGCTATTTTCCGCTTCACTACCCCACTGCGATTTTTACAAACCACTAAACACATACTGACCTGAGTTTTTCTTCCTCAAATGGCAATTGAGAAAATGTTTGATACCAAGTAAAAATGCACGGAGACAAGCTCAAATGCTCTTCACCTGGTTTATGAGCCATGAATGACACAGAGCTTAAACACCCGTTAAGGCCTTTGAATTAAAAACATCCCACTCACACTAAACTGCTTTCAACCAATGGGAACAAAACCCACTAATCTCTTTACAATGAACAAGGAAATAAACGGGGAAAAAAACGCACCGGAATATTAAAAAGAAAAACTCGAAAATTATAAATTAAAAAACCTAGCGGACTACTATTTGGAGATTTACGACTACACTGTTCTCCAAAAGAGAATAACTATTCCAGGAATGGGTTCAGGAAAACACACGGTAGGGTGTGGTGTGGACCAGTACAGGCCAGGCCTGACGACTGCAAGAATCAAAATCAGTCCGGAAAGAAGCCGCCCACCGGAAAGTCCCGGCCAAAATTCCCTTCCTCTGTCCCGCCCCCGGCACTAGGCGAGCCCGGAGAGGAAGCAGCCGACCAGCGCACGAGGCCACGCGTCACCGCGTTCTCCCGCCCACTGCGACTGACGTCAGAGGGCGGGGCCGGCCGAGCGGCGCCGCGGTTGACCCTGCTGTTACCAGGCGTGAACACAGCCAATCAGCACCCGCCGCCAGCGCCGGCCGGCCTTTGAACTCGGCACGGCAACTTCCTGCTGTTTGGCGAGTACACAGTGCAATGCAGTATGTCTGTCAGCGCTGCGGCACAAAGGAACAGCCATTTTGTGACTGAGCTGGCCGTGCACCAAGATGCCAGAGCCCCCGAGAGCTGCTCCCTGCGCCAGCCACCGAGCTGCCCTTAACTCATCATCAGAGTACCAATGGGAACGTGGGGAAAGGGGTGTTCTGATATTTGGGACTTCGATTCATTTGTTTCAGCCTTCTTAAAAATCCGATTTTTAAAAGTATTACCAGCGTCATAAAATGGCTGCCACTGAAAACTGCTTATTCCAGTTCACAACCACTGCTTGTGCCGTTTCTAATCATCCCCAGCCTTACAAAGCTAGGAGGCTCCTGAAAACGTTAAAACTCTACCCATTCCGGATACGAAAATATGGCTCGAAGGCAAAGGACTTTGGGTATACATTTAATTTTGAGTTTATAAATGCCGTGTCCTAGAACACAGAAATGTGTTCACACGGGTCCATGTGCATTTTGTTACCCCCCTAGTTAACACTCCTGGATATAACTTAAGTATGTGACACACTTTGTGTCCATCACTAAAACTGTTGTATTTAGGAAATACAAGTGTAAATTGTTTAAAATTACATCACCAAATCACACTAGAATTAGCATTAATTTCGAAAGAATACAAAAATACACTTAATCAGTAGTAAAACTTATAGCACTTGTTTCCAAAACAGGAAAAAAGTTTACTTAAAACTTGTTCAAGTGATTCTCATTCCAAAGTTTACTTGACCTGAAAGCAATTCCTTTCCTCCCTTGCAGATCAGGGTGCAAAGGTGATTTTAGTAATGTTCCCTAAACACTTCAAAATTTAGCCTGTCTTTAAAGGCAACCTACGGATATGATATCACAGGAACCAGGTACACAGGGGCAATTCAATTTCAGCTCACTAGAAATATCACCATACTGACCAAAACAACACAAACATCCTTTAAACTTTACAGTCTTTAAGGGAAATGATGTCATAACTATGCACATGCATTAATAATGCACATAACTTAAGAGTAACAGTAATGCACATAACTTAAGAGTAACAGTAATTTAAAAGTAACTCCATCTTCAAGAATTCTAGAATATTTGGACATACATCAAGTATATGATTTTAAAGTATAATTGGCAAAAGCATTAAAAACATGCTTTTTATTGACAAAACAAAATCAAATGCATGACAATGCCCAAGTCATATCCCAGATAAAAGTAAAAGTTTATTCAAAGGCAGCACTTTGAGGTGAGTTAGAGCACAATCTGATCAATGAAACCAGAAACCCTGAATAAGAAAGCCAAAACCCTGGTGAGAATATGCAAATCATATACTCAAGGGAGTAACAACTTTAATACTGGGTCTTTCATAATTGTCAAATATATCTGCAACTTCCTATAGCTTCAAATGATTACTTTCCAGAAAACTAGTTTTGCATTACAAGCATTTTGTTCTATATATAACTCAATAATAATTACACAGGCAACTCAAAAGATCCAAAATTGTAACGACTCAATTTGCAAAGGAACTTGAAAATGTGCTTTTAAAAGCAAGACTCAAAACTATTTTTAGTCAAAAGCAAAATTCATCATTTGTAATAAACCATATTTGAAATTTCCAAATTTGCAAGCTTAATTTAGAAAAAGAATTTTATGCAAAATTATAAAATAAAATCAAAATTGGGAAAAGATCACATAACCAATCACATCCTTGCTAGCTGCATGATTTAAAATTATGACATGACAATTCTTAACAGATCCAGAAATGCATGCACATTATTTTTTTAAATGAAGATAAAGATACAGTCATACAACAAAAATATCTTAGACTTTATTACTTCAGTCACTGATAAACTACTTCAAAGAATGTGAAACAAATCATTATTTGAACAAACAGTACATTAAAGCTTCAGAAGAGAAAGCATTCCAGATGACTCTGTCAAAATAAATGGATAAATTTAAAGCAGCATCAACTAAAATGTAAAGATAAAATACCATTACCAACCAGAAAGCACTGTCTTAACATAAATACAAGCATAAGCCTTGTAACATTTTAAACATAAAATCTGAAATTATATTGTCATAGTAACCATCAAAGCTCGAGTGTTAATAGCATTCCAGGATTTTGCGATTACAGATTTAATGATTTCAGGAACTTTAAGTAAGGATTTGTTAAGTCATAAAAATTTTCAAATTTGTAAAGTGTATCAAAAGAAATAATCAAGAATATAAAACGAAAGGCATCAGTCCAAGGGTCCCATTTGTGATTCTGTTTTTAAATGTACATTTTCTCATTCATATAACTTTCTCAAATGTCTATTTACTATAATTTACTACCACAAGGCTCCTCTATGGCCCTCAGTTACAAGTTTGAATATCCCAGATAATTCAAAGAAAAAAATTTGCCTTGTATGTAAAATGGTGCAATGCAGCAATGGCTAAACAGACAAGGTCATTTTTCTGCAGCATGAAAACCTAAAAACTAAAAATTTACTGACAAAAAAACTACAGTTTCTAGGAAAGGCCTCTCCGTACAAAAGTACCTTACCTTCTGAATGCTGTAAGAGGCCTTAAGTCACAACTCAACTTTCATAAATTGCTACCAAAAATCAGGGTGTGGCATGTTAGCAATCTCAAGGTCACGCTTTAAAAAAAAAATCAGCCCAAGTTAGAAAATTCTTTCAACACAGACAGCAATCTATGCCTGTCAAAGTAAACAAGTGTAAGCTGAGGTTTCCCCAAAAAAAAAAAAAAAAAAGAAAGAAAGTTAATAGCTCATACCTCGATGCATTGCTGTGTAGCGAACTGTCCTCCTCTTGGCTTTTGTCCTTATTTCTCATCATCTTTTAATTCTTAAATATAAGGGGGAGGGGGAATCTGTGTTTGCTTTGAAGTCCTGTGCCCAGGTATTTACTGTCAAAAGTTGAAAGAAAGGTAAGGTCCCAGCTTCTGTGGATGGTTCTTATTATCAGGAACAAAGTCCTGACGATGTTAGCGATATTCATGGAATGCAACAACGGTAAACACCGAAAAAACAAAAATATTTCTATTTTTTTCTTTTTCAAATACGTGGGGGATAAGCTGAACTGTAGAAGCATCACTATCAATAAGGAAAGTTTCTCAAAGTAACACACTGGATACAAATAACAATCTCTGTATCTTATTGCGTCATCCAGGAATTTTTCATATTTACAAATAAATAAAGCCAACTTCAACATAAAAACCTTTAAAATTATCACTATTATGGGCTTACCTGATCCATGCAGTATGTCCAAAGCAAGACTCCTATCTAGTAGTAGAAAAATACCAGATCCAAAATAATTAAAAATAACGCAAAATCCTCCGTTAAAAAACAAAAAATAAATGAAATAGTCTTCGAATATGTTGACTTGTCAAAAAATAAAGCAATAATTAATACTAAAACAGGTCCGGAAGGTGAAAAAAAAGCCTCATTAGGAGAGCGCACAAAAATGGAGGTGCGCCATGGCTTCTAAGCTGGAAAAAACAACGACCTGGGCTCTCAATACGGCAGCTTCTTCCAACAAGGCACGAAAAAAAAGCTTCTAAAAGCTGCTTTTCCCCCAAAAAAAGGTTCGAATCGACCCCAGTAAGTCACTAGGAGAGGCAGGGGGCTGCGGGGGCCCCCTGAGGCTGCCCGAAAGTTAGGGAAAGTTGCGTAAAGTGAACCGAAGCAGGAGCAAAGCGCGCTCTCTCTAAGGCACAGCCGCCATCTAGAGCCTCCTTCCCAGCTCTGAGAGCTCTGCCTTTGATTGACACTCTCTACATTTACCCCACAACTCAGGTGATGTACCATAGACCCACCCCTTCATCTCCACCAAAAAAAAAAAAAAGAAAAAACTAGATCCTCCATCCAAGGGAGCCTTAAGACCCCCCAACCCCACACCTCCCTGCCCCTCCAGACCACTCCATAAGAGGGAGGGGGAAGGGCTTCTTAACCCCCTCTGGCTCAAGCACCCTTTTTAAGCCAGAGAGAAATGTAATTTGTTCCTTTTGTCTAAAGATCTGCTAAATATTTCAGTCCTTGAGCTAAAATAACTTCCTCCCTGGACAGGAAGTGGTGTTTTATCAAGCCATTTTGAAATAAGGATAATTTTTAGAGACTCTAAAGCTCATCTTAAGTACTAATCTTTTAAAAAATTAGTGCCCCGATGGGTAAAATGGCTTGAAAATAGAAGCAACACCATAAATTAAGCTCAACTCTTGCCTTCTATGTGGTCCCCAAAAACCATCTAAAGACTTAAGTTTAAGGGGGAATTTTCCACCCTAACTGGAAGGGGTAATTTTCTTATAATACTCAAGAGCGCCTCCCTAGTGCTCAGCTGCGGTAGAACAAAACTTAGTACAACCACCCCATCATCAAAATTCTTTAACCCATTATATAACCTTGGAGACGCCACATACCAAAAAATTCTCATACACAAGTATCTTTAACTGATTTGGACAAAATGAGTAACTACAAAATACAAAATACACACCAACCATGGGCACCTTTAAATCAAAAAACTCAACCTCACCTCCAAAACCAAGAGAACCAGTATAACAACTTTCACTCAGATTTCAAATCAAATTCTAAGTATACACTCATATTTCTCAATGACAGGTCACTTACAATAAGCCACATCTAACGTCCAATTATCAAACTTTCAAAGACAAACTCCCTAAAGGTGGAAACACAAGATCTATAGAAACAAAATTACAATTAATTGCACACAAGTAACCAACCATATGTGCCCTAAAAACTCAAAACATTCCTTTACTAAACCCTATAATTTGTCAAAACCATGTCATCATTCTCAATGTGGTAATCCATTTTAGATTCACAACCCAAAGCAATCATATTAAGTCTAAGTAAATGGAAAATCCATAATCAAGTTTCAGTTCTAAAGATATTTTTACATCCAAATAAAAAATCCAACTCATTTTTCAATTCACAAAACATCAACCAACTACTTCAACAAACACTGCATGTGTATTAACCATAGATGTGTATTCTAAGATATTTTACATTTGTTCTTTGTTCTCTATACTGAGAAAACATAATGGTCAGTTGGTCAACAAAACAAATCCCCATTATTCCTTTACATTAGTTACCAAAACTGTTGCTAATATCAATAAATGAAAACCTGGAACTTGACTCCAACCATGGGTAATGTAAAGTATGGTGTAATTCATTTAAACTCCCAACTCTGAAGAAGGAAAGCAAGATTTTTTTTCAAATGTAAATTAGACGACTGTTAAAGACTAAGCTCTTTGGTGTATAACCTTAAGGCCCTACAAATACACATCTAATGTTAGACAATACAAACAACAGTATAACTCAAATATCAGATGAGCATCTTCAAGATGCTTTACTTAAAAAAAAAAACAAGTCAAAGAGACTACTTTCATAAACACAAATTGAGATACTTGGTCTTAGTCTATATAGGCAATAAGTACTTTGTTTTGTAAATCCATTGTAATCTTATGACACTTTCAACATTCCTGTACCCACTGATTCAAATACAAGATGTCTTGAGAAGACCCAAACAAATTTAATGAAATTCATTTAAACCCTACAATAAAAAGCATCAACCAATTGCTTTTTAACCAAAGGGCCACTCCACTAAGCACAGGTTCATTGACACACCTTTGATAAAGCCCACTATTCCATTTTACCAACTTTATTCCATATAATTTAATAAAAAGCAACTGTAAGTCAAGATGTTATTGAGGGGAAATCAACACTGAAGCTTCCACTTAAAAAAAAAATTAAAAAAGGGCCAAACTGAGAAATCTTTAAGTTTTAGATATTTTATTGAAGTTAACATTCCATAAGGTCACTCATGTCGAAATTGTAAGAAATTTCAGGAATACAAACTTCTATTTGAATAAATGTAGCATCTTCTTCAGATGTTAAATTGTACATGTCTTTAGAAAGTAAATCCCACTGTCCATTTGTGTTAGGTAAGAATCGTTCATTTCATGGAATCCACATTAAAAGAACCCTGTGTTGGTTGTATAATATCACAGCATTCTTGCATTAATCCATTTTCCTCAATTCCCCATAGTGGGCTGCCATCTTGATTTCTCAATGGTAAGGTCCATTTGAAACTCTTCAAGCTGACTGGATGCTTCATAAAAAAAATTAAGAAAAAAAACTCTGTTGGAATAACAATCATCTTATTTCTTCAAACAGAAAATTCTACCCAACTTGAATATTCTACCAGACACAAATCTTTAATTCTGCAAAATCTATTTGTTCAAACAGCACTACTGTGATAAATTTAACCTCTCAAAAACAGAATCAATGATACACATTTAGCAGGCTCTCCTGTCACAGATACATTTGTATCCATTAAAAATAGTTGCAGTCAAAGGTCAATTTCTTAAAATCTAACACTGTACATATATGAAAAGATTAAACCAAAGATAGGCTAAATTACAGATACTTTGCATCCTACAATTTCAATGCAAAAAGTTTCCAAGATCCTTCAAGGAAAACTATAAAAAGAATCTTAAAGGTTAAAAAAAAAACAATGGATCATTGCATGGCATTCTTTAGTCTTAAGGATATTAATTTTGTTTAGATAACCCATATAATTTTGTTTAGATGACCTATATAAACAGATAGTTATATATCTGAGAATGCAGAGAATTTGAAGTCACAAGAAAAAAAAATAAAAAAAATTGGAAACACCTGCTTAGCTTACTTGGAATTTGCCACAGAAATGCTAATGCTTTTCAATTATAAACAACTAAAATAAAATTTCATTGTCAAAACATCTCATGTTCCTCCTGGAAAAATTAATTTAAATAATTTGGACTGGAGGTGGATGACATGACAGACTCTGGAGATCCACCATGGAGGCCTCACTCTTCGTGAGGATCAGAGTGGAGATTAGGTGGGGACTGGGGGAGCCTGGTAGGGAAGGATGGGGAGGACAGGGGGGAGAGGTAGCTGGGATTGACATGTGAAACAAACTTGTTTCTAACTTAAAAAAAGGAAAAAAAATAAAGGGGAAAAATTTTGGAGTGGAGGGAGAAATGAGAATCCAAGTGATTTTAGTACTCAAGAAAATTTTTTCCAGTTTTTATGCATGTTTTTCTGGGGGGGGGTGTACATTTAAATAAGTGTAAGTCCATGTGTAGACCTGAGGTTGATACTGATGTTAGTAATGATGCTGAGAAATCATCTTAACTTTATTTGTTGAAGCAGGATCTCTCAGTCAAACCTAGAGCTCATCATCTTGCTAGTCAGTTTCCTCAGGGGACTCATCTCCACCTGGAATTACAGGCAGGTGATGGCTGGGCATTTACTTGGATTTGGGGGTGGGGGACGAGAGTACAAATTCCCAAGCAAGTACTTAAAGGCTGGGCCATTTCCAGAGCCGACAAAGCCATTTTAATCCCTGGTCTGTCTGTTATACAACTTTCCAACTCCATTTGTGGAGTACAATCAGTGACTGACTGGGGAGTAAGAAAAAAAAAATGAGAAGGTATGTTTGCTTCTAGTCTAATTTCCTGTCTCCCTAACTAAAATTAAGGAATGTTCTCTAATACACACTTTACAAAACATACTTAATAAACTAAATAAAAGGCAGTGTAGCCCCCTATTAAAAAGTGATTCTTTACAGGAGTATTACTCCTTTAAAGGTCTGTCACAGCATCAGTAACAATCATCAAATCTACATATTCCTAACCACTGGGTCATCTCTTGTAAACTTAGGAAATTTCCCAAAGCCTTCCTCTTAAAATAATTCCTTCTATTCCAATGACAATGAAATACTACCTGCCTTCTTTTCTTAAAATTAGGAAATGATTGTGTACAGTTGGATATGCCTTTACTTCTAGTACTTGTGAGTCAGAAGAGCAAGAGGACCTCTGAATCTGAGACTAACCTGATTTACTGGGGAGTTCAGGGTCACCGAGGCTACATAGTTAATTAGACCCTGTCTCTAAATGAAAAACAAGAGTAACTGTAGGGGCTGGAAGGATGTTTCAATGGTTAAAAACACTTGTTGCACTTCCAGGACCCAGGTTTGATTACCAGCACCCACATATCAGCTCATAACTCTAGCTCCACTCTCAGGGGTACAATTCCTTGATGCCTCCTACAGGACCGGGCTTGCATGTAGTACACAACATGCAGGCAAAAATCAATACACATTAAAAATATTTTTAATTTAAAAATGGTGGTAAATTATGTCAGCTTAGTTTATTATAAACCAGATAAAATGCATGGTCAGGTGCTACATGAACCAGCGACATAATCTTGGACAAACTGACAATAACAATGTGTTTACTACAAAATTATAGTCATTTCAGGAGCTACAGAGTGGTACATTAAGACTCGAGGCTATCTTTCTGCCACTGGATAGTAAAATTCACTTCTAACACAATACTTGAGAGGAAAAAAAGAAAAAGCATAGTATGGCTCAGAAGAATTCACTAATTCCTGAGCTTGAGCACCAACACCATATAAAACTGGGCATAGTGGTAGTACGTGCCTGTAATCTCAGCATTTGGAAGATAAAGGGAAAAACCAGACATTCAAGGTCATCCTTGGCTATAAAAACCTTAAAAACAAAACGAAGAAAAGGCCAGATATGGTGGATTCCACACAAAATCCCAGTACTCAGGAGAGACTGAGGCAGTCTGCTATGAGTTTGAGGCTGGAATAGGCTAGTCTCAAAATAACAAAAACCTACTGACAGTATCATTTGAAAACTACTCAAAAACTGCACTCCCATAGTTGTCATGTCATCAAGTGATGTATTTCAAATTTTTCAAAAAATTTAAAATCACTATAAGAGAAAACAGTCAACTTTGTCAATCCGTGGTCAATATGGACTCATACAAAGCCCATGATCCAAAGCCAAAAGCAAGAATTTTGTTTCATAAAGCATCAGAGCTAATAAATGGTATGAAGGGTTAAGAAGTAATCCATTTATGTTCATAAAGTTTCAAATACTAGCAAAAACAAAATTTTTGCTTAACAAAAAAATAGGAATCAAATATAAGCACTTCAGCATGAAAATGTTAAAATCCACAGCTTCTCAACGCATGATCCTAGTGACTGCTGCTATGGCACTACTGAAGACGACAACTTGAGTCGACCTCAGTAAAGGCTGACTATCATCGCCCTACATCATAGCAATAACGCTATGAGGGTCTCAAACTGAAGAGGCAGAACACTTTCTATTTCAGTAATAAGGGTATCACTGAAAACACACCCAATCGTAGAGTCAATTACTTAAGAACAGTTTTGCCTTTAGTAATATTGGGGAAAATATTTTAATATAGCATAGTTACTAATGATCAACTACTCATTCTACAGTCAACTGTTAATACAGACATACTAAATAGTATACCTTTGATCTAGAATTCTACCCTCACTCAGACAAGACCGGGAGCCTTTGTCTCATATGTAAGATTTAAACTTAACATTGGTATTTTCTAGTTTGTACTTCCCCTAAGTATGTGTTTATTCCCTGTGCAAATCTAAGCTTTTGTCAACATGGTAATCATTAAGTTATCTCCTGAAATCCAACTAGTAGAAATAGTCATACATTAAGAACAGAAAACTGTGTGGTTATCTTCAAATTCTTCCAAATTAGTTATGAAGATATACTTCATGAACTAAAATGCAAGCCACTGACTCATAGGAGTCTAAGTAGGGTTCTCCTGAAATAAAGAAAGCAGTTCTTTACTTCTATTTCAACTAGCTTTACCTTTTTTTTCTTGACAGTCTACCCAGTATAGAAGCCTCAGTCTGAGACCAAGAACGACCTTGAAGATCTGACTCCTGTCCTCCCAAGTGCTAGAGGATTTACAGGCCTCTGCACCATGCCTATCTTATCTTTACCAGTTTTTAATAGCAAGGAAAAACGTATGGAGTAGAAAGTGTGGATCTTAAACAAGATAGGTATAAAAGCTAACAGTACAATTATTTCAAAAAGACTCCCCAATCTTCATCAATGAAAGGATGAGGTCAAATATGATAAAGCAAAAGTCATCTTTTCTGTGGCTTTACAATCTAACTACATAACCAAGACACAGAGACTGGGTATGGGAGGATTGTACATTTACTTTTAATTTTTATTTTGTCAAAATTTTAGCTATCGAGCACACTTACAGTATTTTACATTAATAACACTTATGGGGTTTTGTTTTGTTGTTTTCGAGATTGGGTTTCTCTGTAGCTTTGGAGCCTATCCTGGCACTCTGTTGACCAGACTGGCCTCAAACTCAGAAATCAGCCTGCCTCTGCCTCCAGTGCTGGGATTAAAGGCGTACACTACCACTGCCCAGCTTAACATTTGGTTTTTCTCTCTTTTTTTTTTTTTGGTTTTTTTTTTTTTCGAGACAGGGTTTCTCTGTGGCTTTGGAGGCTGTCCTGGAACTCACTTTGTAGACCAGGCTGGCCTTGAACTCACAGAGATCCGCCTGCCTCTGCCTCCCGAGTGCTGGGATTAAAGGCGTGCGCCACCAACGCCCGGCTGTTTTTTTTCTCATTATGTATTGAGGTTTTTTTGGTTTTGTTTTTAACATTCATGTTTTAATGATGAATTTCACTTTGCCTTTCATTAGACCCAAAGCATTAGTTGATAATGTTTAATAAAAGCTACACTAACACAATAAATGAACAAATTTTACTGAATAGGTATGATGTGTCAGGAAACTAATCTCTAAGTGTAATCAAACAAGAAACTAGTACATTAAGCAAATGTTGGGTCTACTCACTCTCCCTCAGGAAAAAAAGAAAACCTTGTTTTTACAGGTCTTATCAGCCATTGCAGTCTCAAGTAGCAATAATGGCAAAGAGTCACTCAGAATCTAGATTCCCAAATATTTTACTCCTATCAAACAACTAGTAGACAATTATCTTAAATGTTTGCTACCAATGAATAAATTCTTTTGGCAGTTCATTCAAAATGATTTTATACTCTTCCCCACTACTTGTTAGGTTTGGATTTAGAAAAACTATTCACAGTAGTGGTAAATATAACACATATCAAATAGCAATTTCTATATCAATAAGGGAAATTTTTCAATCTTGAAGTTTAATTTCAGAGTTAATTTATCATAACCAATTGCAACTGGAAATCAATTAAAATTATATTCTATTGTAAAGAGACAACCAAAGGGCTTCTAAATTCTATTAGAAGTAGCACAGACCCTAAAACCACAGTCTGTTTTCTTTGGAGACCAGACTGTAAACACCCTAAGGTATGAATCTAATTCACTACAAGTATTCTCAGCTGTGAAACTGTAATATGAAAGCAACCAGGATTACAGGTATACTGGAGAGGGGGAAAATGCTTTCCAAACTCAAGGGACACCAAATCCAGGATGTGGGAACCATGTTCAAATGGGTTTCTTGGTCTTAATGTTTTAATTTTGACCCCATTGTGATGGCAAATCTTTAATCCCAGAACTCAGGAAGCTGAGGCAGGCAGATCTCTTAGTTCCAAGTTAGCCTAATCTACATAATGAATTCCAAGTCCACCAAGGATAAGCAGTCAAATGAAACCATGTCTCTAGAATAAGCTTCACATCTAACGATTCATTATGTGGAGTTTCCTATACTGTTTACAGCCTTGATAAAGTTTACAACTCCAAATCAGTAACTTAAAATTCCTAGTGACACTTAAAGAAAACCCAATGAGTAGATTAAGACTTACTAAATGATTCAACAATGTCTATGGTATAGGTCTTTCATTCCATCTGGGGATCCACATTTCTGCAAAAGACAGAATAGATTTTATTAAATTCTATGACTACATCCCAACTGCAATTCTAAGGAACCAACAGACCAAGAAATACAGTTTATAAATGAATTAATCCAAACAAAAGACAGGAAAATTGTGACAAGATTAGATTTGGTAGTACAGGAGGTGACTTCTAGAACAAGCTGCTAAAATTACAAGCCTAGGTCTTAGTCCAAGAACTCCAAAGGAGTAATTATTGAGGTCCTTTGTGAATTCGATTGCATATCCAGAGATAGAGAAAGTACAAGTTAACAGTACAGAATCAATCCGTATTCTGACCTCCTGTCTAATAACTTTTAAGTTTTTCAAAGAAAAGCTTTACTGCGTATCTCCAAGATCATTGTATCCCTATTACCGTATTACATCATGTTTATCATATGCTAGAATCAACATAATATAATCATGTACATAATATTTCTAAATACAATGTTACTTTAGCCATCATTTCAAATTATCATCAACTGTACTATTTGACTAACACTAATTCCTTAAGACTTATTTTTAAAACTTTTTATGTTTATGTGTATGTTATGTGCATATCTGTACAAGTCCAGAAGAGGGCATTGGATATTCTGGAGCTGGAATTACAAGAAGCATGAGTGCTGAAAACCACACTAGGTAGGTCCCCTCCAAGAGTAGTACAGGTTCTTAAATGCAGAGCCATTTCTCCAACACTAACACTAATTCTTATATATGCAATTGATTTATCAGGACTTCTCATTAGTTACTGGCATAAATTCCTCATAACTAAATATGGGAAATACCTACATCTCAAATACTTTCTCAAATAAGGATGGATGGGTTTTCATTTGCCTTGGTTTTGTATGACTATAATTATCATAAAGTAAGAGAGGAGTTCTGTTGGAGCTCAGGACTCTACAAGCCTGGTCCTAAACCCCACTGCTGAGAGTCTCCTAACAAAGGATAGGTGCCAAAAGCCCAGTTCTACATTCTTGGCAGCTATTACACTTTCCTCCCTTCAAGTTGCCAGCAGTTCAAATTCCTGCCTGCCTAAGCACTTAGCCTTTGACCATACTTGGACACAAACCCAGCTTATGGTGGCCTAGTCAATCACCCCTTGCCTACAACTTATAAAATCTCCACTTTAGTTTGGAGAATGACTTCTCAGGCATCATGAACCTGCCTGGTAAGCTGCTTTTTGCTCAATATACCTGATGTTATACCTTTCCAATTTGGATTGATCTGGCTTACTGAGGAGGGGGAGCAGAAAAACTATTAAGAGGTATAACTAAGTGGTATAGCACTTAACATATGGGAAACCCTCTACTTTCAGACAAAAATAAGCAAAAATGCTGTTTGAAAGTTACCGCCATCTCAGGACTCAGGGAGTTGAACCAGGAAGATCATGAGTTCAATTGCAGCAACTTAAGACTTTTTTTTAAAGAAGCAAAAAACAAAAAACGCTTAAGTTTAAGACTAAGCTATCAAACTAACTTCCTAAGAGTTGTTTGCAAGTGCCCTATTTATGTATCAAATCTAAATTCATTTTTATAAAACATAATCAAGATATAGCAAGGATCTGTTTAAAAGTTACTATTTGATACTAAATACCTTCAAAAGAAAACAAAGCAAAGCAATAATCTTACAATTGCTAAACCTCTAGAGTAATCTACCTTAAAAATAAGAGGTTTTTTGAGCAAAGTCAAATCTTAACACAGGAGGAAACTAAACGGACTCAGGAAGAGATGCTGGTCAGTGACAGAAAGAAGGTTCCCAGCATACAGGGTCCTTGGTTCTAACTAATATCATAAAAAGTAAACAATAAACTGACTTAGGGTCCTTTACAGGGGTAGAAACTGTCTAAGAACTCTTGGTTTAAAAAAAATTGTTTCAAAGATTTCTAAGAGAAATCCCTCATAGTGCTTTTGTAGTATGATTAAGTGACACACCAGCCTAAGAAATGTTTAGGTTCTGAAACCACCAAAAAGGGGTCTTTGATCTCACTTTACATCAGAGTGAAATTATTAGCATTGATGAAATCCACCAGAGGTTCTCCTTTCCCAAAGTTGAAGTATGCAGTATTTTTGTCACCCTTCAAAATGGGATGAGGGTCCAGTTCAGTTTAAGAACAGCAGTCTGATTTTCTTCAAATTCCTATCTGTCTCACATATTTTAAAATGTACTTTGTGACCTAAAACTAGACCTTAGGGAATATAAGCATATAATGCTGGCCCTTTGACAGTAAAAGTCAAGAACACTTTGTTGCTTCTTAAATCCCTTAAACACTTAAACTGTAACATTAAAATCTAAGAACAGAGAACTCTAAGAAAATGTTTACAAAGATAGGATAGTCAGAGGCATTTGTGTACTATGATAATCAAAAGGTTCCTCCTGGTAAGTCCCAAGAAAAAACTAAACAAAGACATTAATTAACATTTCATTAAAAAACTGCTTTTAAGGTTCTGGAGAGTTGGCTCAGTGATTAGGAGCAATGACTGCTCTTCCAGAGGACCTGGGTTCAATTCCCAGCACCCACAAGACAGCTCACAGCTGTCTGTAACTACAAATCTGACACCTTCACACAGGCATACATGCCCAGAAAAACATGAATGCAAATAAAATAACTTATAAAAAAAAGAAAGCTGTCGCCGGGCGGTGGTGGCGCACGCCTTTAATCCCAGCACTCGGGAGGCAGAGGCAGGTAGATCTCTGTGAGTTCGAGGCCAGGCTGGACCGACAGCCTGCAAAACAATACAGAGAAACCCTGTCTCGTAAAAAAAGAAAAAAAAAAGAAAGAAAGAAAAAAGAAAGCTGCTTTAAAATAAATCATAAAGGTAGGCACGAGCCGGGCGGTGGTGGCACATGCCTTTATTTCCAGCACTTGGGAGGCAGAGGCAGGTGAATCTCTGTGAGTTCGAGGTCAGTCTGGTCTACAAGAGCTAGTTCCAGGACAACCTCCAAAGCCACAGAGAAACCCTGTGACGAAAAATCAAAAAAAAAAAAAAAAAAAAAGTAGGCACGATGGTTGATACCTAAGAACTAAGGAAATTATCTCAAAAAAAGAAAAATACACAAACATAAAGCATATATTTTTAAACCACCTTGATAATCTGAATTAAAAGGATTATGATTACTGGTACACATTAACCATTTATTTCTTGTGGCTGAAGAGGTGGCTCAGTAGTTAAGGTACTTGTTGCTATCAGAGAAAACAGAGGTTTGGTCCCCATTACCCATACGTTGGCTCACAACCATCATTAACTGCAGTTCCGGATAATCCAACCTCTTATGACCTCTGAGTACACTAGGCATGCACACAGTGTAAATATATACATGCAAGCAGAATACTCAATAAAAATTTTAAATCTTTAAATCTTTCACAAGGTGAAAGAAGCCTACTCAAGTTATCCTCTGACCTGCAAATTTGCAAACAGAAATAAACTAAATATAATTAATAAGTTTAAGCTAAAAAAATTTCTTGAAGCACAGACTTATAAAGCTTTATTGGATAATGTATAAACACTAACATCAGAAATGCCTTTTAAAAAGAACCAGGTCACCCCTCAAAAAAAAAGAAAAAAAAGAAATGTGGTACCACACCCTTTAATCCCAGCACTCAGGAGGGGAGGCAGAAGCAGGTGGGTCTCTGTGAGTTCAGGTCAGTCTATCTACAGAGTGAGTTCCAGGACAGCCAGGGCTGTTTCACAAAGGAGCCTTGTCTCAAAACAAAAACAAAAACATGTACAGACACACACACACACACACCAGGTCACCTATCACAAAAGATAGGTAATATTCTTTTTTTTTTTGGTTTTTCAAGACAGGGTTTCTCTGTAACTTTGGAGGCTGTCCTGGAACTAGCTCTTGTAGACCAGGCTGGCCTCGAACTCACAGAGATCCGCCTGCCTCTGCCTCCCAAGTGCTGGGATTAAAGGTGTGCGCCACCAACACCCAGCGATAGGTAATATTCTTAAATATAGGGTATCATGTGATGGCTAGCATGTTAATCCCAGCATTTTCAAAGCTAAAGCAGAATCACTACTATATTACCTTACATTCAAGGGCTGTCTGTGCTACACAGTAAGATCCTGTTTCAAAAATATGCCACCAAAATGGCTCAGGACGGTGGTGGCCCAGGCCTTTAATCCCAGCACTCCAGAGGCAGAAGCAATTCCATCCTCTGTGAGTTCAAGGCCAGCCTGGTCTACAGAGCAAGTTCCATGACAGCCAGGGCTACACAAAGAAACCCTGTCATGAGGGGTAGAAAAAAAAAAAAGATGGCTCAGAGCTTAACTGTGCTTTGATGCCAAGTATGCCAATCCGAATGGAAGATCTAATTCCTAAGGGCTGCCCCTGGCCCCCATGTTCACAAAAGTACATAAATGCAATTTTTTTAAATTAAAAGGCTGGGGATAAGCCGGGCGTTGGTGGCGCATGCCTTTAATCCCAGCACTCGGGAGGCAGAGGCAGGCGGATCTCTGTGAGTTCGAGACCAGCCTGGACTAACTACCAAGTGAGTTCCGGGACAGCCTCCAAAGCCACAGAGAAACCCTGTCTCGAAAAACCAAAAAAAAAAAAGGCTGGGGATATAGTTCAGTGACTTTTTCCACCATGTACAAGGACATGTTAACAAAGGAAACAAAAATGCAAAACAAGCAAAAACATTAAAACTGTTAATTATAGCAAAAATAGCCAATTTATGAATAAACTTTGAATTCATCCTAGAAGGGGAACAAATTCATGAGATGAAATTATTTACCTTTGAAATGCAGAAATATTTTTATTTAAAATAATTATTTCTATTAAAAAGAATAAAGCATGGAAGACAATCTACAAATAATCTTACTTATTATAATCATGGTCAGCTGTAAACATGAAAATACAGTCATCTTTAAATATATTTACTAAACTAGAAAAAAATTTAAATGCTTTCATAGAAGAATTCTAAATCTTCACTGCTTCAAGATAGCTTCTCTGAGGCAAGGGCAAATAGCTTATGACCTTGAACATCTGATAAGCCAGCCTCTACTTCCTAAGGGCTAGACTCCAGATGTACACAAGCAACCAGTGTGGTGCAGTACTCGGGACGGAAGCCAGGGCTTTGTGCATGCTAGGAAAGCCCTCTACCAAAAGAGTCACATCCTCAGGCTCAATTTCATACTTCATTACATTTCCAGTATCTGCATTTACACTGAATATTTTGGAATACATAAAAATTTAAACAACTGTCCTGTTCTATTGTTCTAATAATTTTACAACAGAAATAATACTCATTATGCAAAAGAAAGAAAAAGAAAAAGATAGTCCTCGGGAGATGAAATCTATAAACTCTAAACCCTTCACACAAATTAAAAGATTCAAGACTCCAGAATAAAGGTCAAGATTATATAGCCTATTTATATTATGGGTGGAGCACCCTGGTTGCTGAATCATCACATACATCTGATTCAATAATGTCACAGAAGAAACATAAACTAATTAGTTAAAAACCCAAATTTTTAGATAGTCAAGAAACTGGTCAGAAAACTGAAAGTTATTGAAAATTTACATTATAATTACCTACGTCATATACTCAAAACTATAAATGTAGTGTCATGATCCAAAAACACAGCTTCTTTTAATCTTTTGGCATATTAACTCTAAAGTTAGGAAAACATTAAGTATGTTCCAACATAAACACAATTAGATATGAGATTTAAGAATTAAAGAATTTGTTCTTAACTAGAAAATGCTTGACAAAAAACTTACCTTGGCTATATAACAAAGCATATGGTATATACTAAGGTATATACCTTAGTATATACTATATACCTTAGTAGATCACATAATCCCATCTGCTTAATCTAGTATCTGACAACTGCCCTCATGTACCAGTAAATTTTTCTGTTAGTTAAATAACTATTCACGCACTGAACAGAAGCACTATCATAAAGATAATAATGGATGTTCTTCATGAACTAACCTCTTATCTTGGCCTCTGAAAGGCTAGGAATTAATTTAGCAACTACTACATCACTTATTAAAGTGAAAAAAGCTTAAAATTCATTTCATTTAAAATTTCTAACCTTAAGCTATTCGCTTTTTACCTCAGATAAGGCCATTAGGAACATATCGTCTATTTAGACTTAGCTTCTGAAAGCATCATACAAAACACTTCATCCTCAAGTTCCAAAACAGTATTCAACAAATGCCAACTCCACATTCTATCTGTGGCAATGGGAAATCCTTATTTTAACATCTGTTATAGGAATGTAAGACTAAAGATACGTTTGTGTATATTCTATCATTGAAAGATTTTTAAAAGTCTATAATTTCCTTGTGTACACAATAATACAAACTTAAACAACCTTCAAAGATACTTAAGCTAACACAAAGACAATAAAATTAGTCTATTACTCTGTTACCTATTTGAATCAAAACAAGGTGACCATAGATTTCCAAGATATAAATAAATGTGCACTCATTTCAATTAGTTCTTGGGTTGTTTTGTTTTATTTCCCAAGGCATCACTTTATTATTACATATTTTCTCTGGCCAATCACTTAAAAATTATCATTGAACATTATTTCTGGATTCAAGCTTATATGGACAGATTTATTTCTTTACATTACAATAGTAGTCACACTTTCTTTATTCACTTTAATGTTCACATATTAAGGCATTAAACCAAAAGCCTTTTGTCCTTGAAATTATTTCTTTTAGGTTCAAGAATCAATTACCAAAATACAGATAGAGCAGTGTACTCATAGTTTGCAATAAATCAATTTTTGTACTTATTTAAAGAACAAGCTACTAAAAATGAGTATTTTAACCATTTAATAACAAAGACATCAAAGATTGTTTTTAGCTTTTGAAATACAGTTCTTTCAAAAAGCAAGGGAACAATAATTATAAAATTTTAGGGCACTGTTGCATGACAGGAGTGGGAAAGGAGCTAAATAATGTCTTTCAGACTGTAAAAACAGAACTGATTTAACACAGCATATTTAACCATCACGAAAAGGCGAGCGCCATTTTATTGAGAACAAATGTCTTACTACTGGATATAACTATGCATTGATATAAATTATACGTAAATCCACTGTTAATAGTTAACACAAAAGTGCTTTGGTTAAAGGTAAAAGAGTAGGATATTTTGTCATTTTTTATATAAACAGTTCATTTGTTTCAGTGACAAACTTTAGTGATATTTTTCTACCCAAATGTTAGAAGATATTCAAATATGATAGATAAAAGAACTTACTTGCTATATAAAATATGGAATTTCCCAAGGGTTCTCCTTTATTCTTAAAGATAAAACTCTATTATCTCAGTCTTCAAAATGGCACACCTTTTGGAAAAAACAAATATATTCTAAAAAACTTACTGATGAGGCAATCAGTAACAACTAAAAACATTTTAAAACTTTATACAGAACAATAACTATAATCGATGCTTAAAGCTAACTTTTCAAATATTGCTCTCTAAAATCTATTTAGTTTACATTACAAACTATTCAAATTTCTTAATAAATTTCTTTAAATACTCAAAATGTTAAAATAATTTGCATGGTTATCTTAAAGAGCTGAAAGGGAGAAAAACATCTTTGGTCCATGTCTGACTACAAAAGCTTGTTACCAAAATTAAACAAAGCTTTAAAAGGCTAGCAGTATTTTAAGGTATACAAAGGTACACTACATTATATTACAATAGCTATACGAATATTCTTTTAATCACTCAATAAAAGGAGCGATTTAAATTTCAGATATATTCATTCATAATCACTTTAAAATCATAAACATTAACTGAATGCTAGAAATAAGTTATCAAAAAAGCAAAACAAAAACCTAACTGGTTAATTTATATTCAAGTAATAAATTTACCAATCTTACCTGAGATAAAAGCTGTATTTATTCAAAATCATCAGCAATCACACTAATATAATCTTGTAAGTTACCTTTAAAAAAAAGAAAAATGATTTAAGTGTTTTGATTTTTTAAATTTTCTTGGCTAAAGACTGGATGTGATAAAAGAAGAAAAATACTCCAATGACAAGATTCAAGTACAAATTTAAAAGCTGGGTGACACAACCTGCACCTTTATGACTGCAGTAATTTCTTATCTTTAATGTCTATCAGTCTTTGTTTTCTCATTTGGAATTGTACTGAAAAATACTAGGCATTAAAACATTGGAATCCCTAATACAGAAAATTCAAATGACTATCAATTTGCTTTCCTTTTTCCCTTTTAAAAATAAACAAAGGAAAACTTGGCAATGTTTAGAAAATGCCATCATTATAAATTTTGCTTTACCATCTATAAATACCTCTTACAGTTATGAGCATTAAAAATCAACTCCTCCAAGAGAAAAATAGTGAACTTAAAATGGCCACTGGTTACTTTAAATTTTAAACTACAAGGTATTTGATCTCACCAAATGGGATATTAGTTTTGTCTTTTAAGCAGATCTAAAACTTGTGGTATCTATGACCTTCATTCAATTCCATACCAGAGTCCGGAATATTCTGTCTTTCTACGACTAAATTTATCATGAAAGACATTAAACTGCCAGTTATTTTTACATTTTACCATTCAAAAAGTATTCTGAAGAATTACGATTTCCCAATCTCTTTAAAACCACTTTCAGTGACAAAACATTTCAAAGCATTGTTTGAAAAAAACAAAATTGGCACCTGAATTCTGTGAAACCAAGGTATGCGCAACTGAGATACCGTGCACTACCTATAAAAGGTATTCCAACTGTTTTTACTGGAAACACCCTATGAAATATGGTCCGACGAACCGTAACCTCTGGTTTTAGATGGACTACGTAAGTCTCCCCAACACTGTCTTTACGCAGTTCTTCGCCTAGGGCTCCGTAGAAGACAAATATATTCAAAAATACACAAGGGTCTATGCTTTCCTAGCCTGTTTTTCCAACAATTAAACCTGAATTATCTCACGTATCTTTAAAAGACTATGCCCATTTTCGTTAGAACTGTTTTTTCAGCAATGTTCCGTTTTGAAGTACATCTCGACTTTATGCATGCAACAAATATGGCCCCTCTACATCGCCCATCACGGACAGTCCTACTTCTCTATTTACACTATGTAAAGTAACTTCCCGAAGAACTGTACTATTACGATATTCCTTTATAAAACTTTTTCCACCGCGGTTTGTAATAGTATACATTCTCTTCATAAAAAATTAGAGAAAATTTAACTTTTAAAGGGTAGGAACTGACTCGATTACGTTTCAACACTCAGGTGTGAGAAGTTACTGATAACTGCTCTTTCCGCTCATTTAAAAGAAAGTATTCAACAGTATAGTTACGTTCAAATATCAGGATGTCAAATGGTCTTGGCAAAAACACTTGGTTAAAATAAGCAGTATTCATCAAACGTCATCACCCAGTACCGTAATTATCAAATCTACTTCCATTAAACTGCCTTGTTGCCGTCGTCATTTTTGAAATACCAGAGGCACTCCAGTAACTTGCCTTTTGTAAAAGACAACAAACGTCACAGACGTTTACCAAGCTGTAAGAAGATACCTCTGCATCGAGAAAACTAACAGCCGTTTTCAAAAACAGCTCGGAAAGAGTTAAAAGCCAACACCCAACAGGGATGGGGGGAAAAGACAAGTTTTATTATGGTTTAACCGAAGTGAGAGGTTCCATTGTTCTTTCAAATCCGACCCCGAAGACCGGTGCCCACCTCACCGGAAAAGATTTTTAAGAAACCGTCTGCGGAGGATCGTTGTTATCTCACACTAAGTAGCAAAATAACTCACCGGAGCAGGCCGGAGCTCCACGGCGCGGCCGCCGCCCTCTCCCCGCAGGCTCGGAACGGCAGCGCGAAGCCCGACCGGGTGTGCAGAGGGAACGCGGTGCCCGACCCACTGCACGGGTGGCTTCCTCCGGCCCTCGGCGGCAGCGCCCGGGGCTGAGTGTGGAGAGCCGGCTACCACCCCGCCACCCCTCCCGCTCGCGCTCAAGGACGTCGGGCTTTTCTTCCCAAGGACAAAGGACAATAAAGGGAGCAGGGGAGCAACTCACCGAATCGAAGCGCGGTCGCCAGCGCCATCGGCTCGCTCTTCCTCGCATCCCCGGGACGGGACGCCCGCCGCAGCCTCCCGCCCACGGCACCGGCCGCCTCCCGGCCGCGCACACGGCCAGCACCGCCGCTACCGCAGCGGAGCCACGGGCGTCGCGGGCCCGGCCTTCCCGGGCTCCCGTGCCGAGGGCTCCCGCACCCGCGCGCGGCCGCCTCGCCTCAGCCTCGGCCTCCTGGCTGCCCCGAGCCCTCCGGGACGCCCGGGCGCTACTCTCAGCGCAGTAGCGAGCCCTTGGGCCGCGGCGGGCCGCCTGACAGATCGGGTTGCTGCTGCCTCTCCGGCCATCTTGTGCCGTGTGTGGTGTCTCTCCCGTCTCCTCGCTCGGCTTTACTCCCTCCTCCTCCTCCCCCCACCCGCCCCACACACCACACAACATGGCCTCTTCGCTGCGGCGGTGGCTGCGGCGGCGGCAGGAGCTCCGCGGCGTTCCAGCTCGCTCCCCTCCCCCAACCTCCCGCCTGCAGCGCCGGGACCCCCAATGCGCACGCGCGCCACCATCCGCCCGCCTTGGCTATTGGCTGAGCCAGCTTCCTGCCATCGCTTCCCGAGCGGCCTCACGCACTCTGGTTGGTGCATCCCTCCCGCCCCGACAGCAGCTTCCAACAGACTATTGGTCAGTTCTGATCCCACCTCTTCCACCTTTTCAGCGACAATAGGACTGTTGTGATGCCAATCATGTTACGTGGGCGTTTCGGCCGAGAAGTCCCTGCCTGCGATTGGCAGAGGATGAAACCTTTGGGGTTGCTGGAGAGACGTGGCGTTCAGCTCCGCAGTGCGGACTCTTCGTAGCTAGCTAATTCTTGTGTTTGTGGTACAGGCTAAGCAAAGGCTGGGGTCGTTGAAAGCTTAGGCTTCGCTATTTCTGACTTGAGATTGGTTTTGGTCTTCAGAGAAGGAGGGAGGGGTGAACCATAAATGACATGATTGACAATATAAACAAAGATCGTGTGCATCCTGCACTTTTAGGCAACCAGCCATATCCTTAGGATTTTTTTTCCCCCTAAGCAACCAGAACTACCTTCAGGTCACACACAGGAGCCGTGATTTCATGATCTGCACATTCCCTAACCTATGACCCTTTATTTGAGGTAATCTATTACCATACCCCGTGTCCTGAGGCCTCAACAACCCAGGCTCATCATACTTTTGATGAACTGGATTCCTCACTTTGGGGCAGTGTTTGTTGAAGTGGTAGTTTAAATGTGAACAACCACACCTGCCTGTCCAACTTTCCCTCAGAGAATTACACTAAAACAAATTTTCATTTCCTCTCAGGAAACTCAATTTTTTCCATCTCTTCTTCCCACTTCTGCCTGAAAACAACTTTAGGCAGAACACAAGTGAACCTCTAAACTGTCCCCCAACAGCTAAGGCAAGAAAAGTTGTTCTCTATCAGTAGTGACATTTACAAATGTTTCTTTTAGCAAGGGACCAGGGGGAAAGAAAAGTTTCCATGAAAGAGAAAAAACATTTTGACAAGGGTTGGAATGAGAGGGACAACTTCAGAGCCTCTTGAGACTTTGTTGGTCAGTTAAATACGTTGAGCATAGACACAAGAAGTAGTTCTAACCGCCCCCCCTTTTAAATTTGAGAGATTGAGATGGGGTCTTTCTACACCTATGTAAGCACGTGTGTGTTCGTGTGTGCAGGTGCATCGAGGATAGCAGCATACGTGTGGGGGTCAGAGGACAGCATACGGGAGTCAGTTCTCTGCTCCTGCAGTCATCATGCTGGTCGTCAAGGCACCTTCGCTAACTGAGCCATCTGCCTGGCTCCTCTAGCCTCTTCTTTTCTTAAACATCACAAACTGGGACTGGAGAGACGGTTCAGTGATTAAGATCTCATGTACTGCGCTTCCAGGGGACCTAAGTTCACAGTTTCCAGCACCTACATCAGGTGGCTCACAGATACCAGAGACTCCAGCTCCAGCCTGTGTCCTCACAGAGCACGTGATCATCACATGCCTATACCCCCACATAGACACACGTGAACACTTAATTTTTAAATTAATAGCAATAAAATCTCCCACCACCACCCACTACAAAAAAATAAAATCTTATAAAAGAAAAATCACACAAAAAATTATTTTAAAAAGGAATAAAAATCACATACTGAGGCTGAAGAGATGGCTTAGCAGTCAAGGGAATCTCTGTTCTTGCAGAGGACCTGGGTTCAGTTCCCAGCACCCACACGGCAGCTCACACCATCTGTAACCCCAGTTCCAGAGGATCCAATGGCCTCATCTGACCTCCACATACATGGTGACATTCCTGCACATAAAATAAAAATAAAGAAATCTTTTTACATTTTTTAAAGGACAGGAAGATAGGAAGGAGATATATGATTGATAGGTAGGTACATGATAGGAAAAATGACAAGGAAAAAAGCACTAGGCAGGTGTAATGACACAACCGTATGGTCTCAGATACTTGGGAGACTGTTATGGGAGAATCCATTTAAACCCAGCAGTTCAAGTCCATCCTGGGCAACATAGCAAGGACCTATCTGAAAAGACCCAGTAGGTGACTCGATTTAATGTAGTGGAAGCTACTTAGGTAAGAGCAAACAGAGCAGGACTTCCCACAGGCCTCCCTCCCGGCTTCTCTGATGCCTTACTCCAACCGTTTTCTCCTCTGGTAGCTAGTGAAGAAACAGCAGGCTAGCAACATGGCTTTTCTCCCTGCATCCCACCTTCTACAACACTCTGCTTCGTGAGCATGAGCAGTCTCCTTTAGATTGTCAATCCAGTTCCTCTCCAGGATGACGGTTTTCAATTCCAGTGTTCTGAAATTCCGTCCCCAGTGTCTGCCTCGACTCTTTGTAGTTATGGAGCATGGCTTTCCTACCAGCTCTGCCTTCGCCACCATGTGTCTCCTGAGGATTCTTTACCTGGCTTTCTGTTTTTCCGTTTGTTATTGTTTTTAATTATGTATATGTGTATATATCTGTGGCTGTTTTTAATTATGTGTATCTATGTATGCCTGTGGGTTGGTATATGCAAGTGCCCACAGTGGACAAAGGTATCAGATCCACCTGGAGCAAGATTTATGGGCAGTTATAAACTACCTGATGTGGGTGCTGGGGGCCCAATATGGATCCTCAGGAAGACATCAGTATATACTCTTAACCACTGAGCCTCCCCTCTCTGTCTCTCCCTGTCTCTCTGTCTCTGTCTCTCTGTCTCTGTCTCTCTCTGTCTCTCTGTCTCTCTCTCTGTCTCTGTCTCTCTCTGTCTCTCCCTGTCTCTCTGTCTCTGTCTCTGTCTCTGTCTCTCTCTGTCTCTCTGTCTCTCTCTCTCTCTCTCTGTCTCTCTGTCTCTCTCTCCCTCTCTCTCCCGTTTTTACTTTGTTAGCCATCTTCATTTCTTTGGCTCAGGGTACATCACACACAGGCTTGAAACACATATATATGCCGAGTACCATGAGGTTGTAGATGACATGGACCAGAGATACTGGTTACCTGTTCTTACAGAGAATTACATCCAAAGGAGAAGGCCACTGAGAAATGGTAACTCCTTCCTGTAATGTTAGCACCAAGAGAATCAGACATGAAGATTACTACAAGTTTTATACCAGATTGGGCTATATAGCAACTTCAAGGCCAGTCTGATCTTATCTCAAATAGGGTTATGGAGGAGCAACAAGGGCACATTGGGAGAAGTGCTGGATTGCCTTTTACCTTTGTTGTGGTGTGGCAACATAGGAATCTGTCCATATCCAAACTCATCAAATTGTACCTATTAAATATGTGCTGGCCAAGCGTTGATGGCACACTCCTTTAATCCCAGCACTCAGGAAGCAGAGGCAGGAGGATCTCTGTGAGTTCAAGGTCAGCCTGGCCTACAGAGCAAGTTCCAGGACAGCCAGGACTGTTACACAGAGAAACCCTGTCTCGAAAAGCCAAACAACAACAAAAAACTTCTCAGCCAGGTGTGGTTCTGGCACACCCCGAATCCCAACACTCACAAGTTCAAGATCAGCCTCAGTTTCAGGCTGCCACCCCAAGAAAGAAAGAAAAAAAGCTGTGTACAAACAACAGACCCACAGAAGGAAAATGAAAAAGATGAATTGAGAATACAATACCTGTGAAAAGGAAAGTTTCCAAAAGAACCAGACAGAATTCATAGAAAAATAATGAAAAATAAACCTACAGAGTACAAGTGGAAAATTCAATTAGAAAGAATGATAAC